CAATTGTTATGGCAATTAGTTTTTCTTTTAGGAAAGGGTTGAAACGATGGAATGTTATACTAGAGTTATGTAAAACAATAGTAGACGATCAAAATATCTGTAAAAGAAAACTTAATACTGATTAACCAAAAATAATATCCTATGCACAGACTATAAAAATATTGAAATAATACGACATTAAAAGTCTGTAATAATTATATATGATATGAAAAAAAAGGAAGAAAAACACAAATTGATTTTATTCTTCAACAGAAATGATTATCGCTTACGTACTAGTTTTTATGTTTTATCCGAAAATCAAATAATACAAAAACAAGAATCGTTCATTAAAAATCGTGACAAAACCCGAGAACGAGTGCGGCGTTTTCGGCATAATCAATCAAACCAACAAAAACAATTGTGCTTAGCAAAGGATCGAAACTATGGATGTTTGAAACGTGAGAAAGAACGGATAGATATTTCAAACAAACAGATAAAAATGAAACAAATGGAACGTCTAATTTGTTTGATCCAACTGGAAATTGTTATGTTATAAATAAGACAACATATATATTTTTCAATAGATATGTTTTTACGATTCTGCGAATTTTTCTGGTTGTTGCTCTATTTGCGTGCGTCACGTAAAGTTTTATGAATAAAACAGATATATTGTATTTGTTTTATGATTTAAATCAAATAAGCTGTTTAAAATTTCATAAAATGGAGAGATGAGAGTTTCAGAAGCTATTCGTATTAAGCAGTTTTTTACGTTGGTGGTTGATTGATACGATTTACTCTTTGCGAACTAGAATTGTCTGTATTGATCTCTTGGATATATACGTTTGATTTCATTCTAGACGACATTTGCACACTATACTTAGTGTTTTACAGATATTAACGGTTGTTCATCGTTTCTGTTCTGCTTTCAGACAGGTCCGCACTGTATCTCTATTAGTCTTGACAGGTTGTAACTCTGCTTCATATAGTTTTACGGCACGAAAAATCTGTCGGTAAGAATTTCGCACAGTACCATGAGCATTCTTTAACCACCTGTCTCAGGGGGAAAGCTGTTTTTCTAAAAGTATCTGATCATGTGAATACTTATTTATAAGGGTTTGTCATTGAAGCAAGTTATCGCTATAATGGTCTGTGGCGTTGGAAACAACTATTTCTAACGGTCTGTGATGGGGAATTACCTGGCGGTAACGGTCTGTGGGG